GGTTCTGTAGGTCAGGGAGGTTCTGTAGGTCAGGGAGGTTCTGTAGGGCAATGCCAGCAGTTCTGCTGCACATCCTGACAATCCCCAAGAGTTTAGTTAAGCAGGATGCAAGAAGTTTTACAAAGCCATAGATCCCAAGTTCAAATCCCACAGTGAACATTTGTTTTGTTGCCAGTCTTGGCTAAATGTAGACGTCTACTTGGTGCATGTGGCTAAGTTTAGTGAAAAATAAAAACTAGGAGCAAAAACAAAAGTGTTGCATTTATATTTTCGTTCAGTATGTAATACAACTTTCACTTTATGACCAGATTGATTCTGATTTTAACCTAGACGTTGATGTTGAGATGTTGTTTAAACCCCAAAATGTTCACTGCCTTCTGAGCAGAAAATGCATCCAGTGCTGCTGCAGTGAGGTTGGTTAGGGAAGCAGTGATGAGCTGCTGTTACACTTCTTTGTGATGTTTTGTTGTTGGAGCAGAAGTTCACTCCAGATGTGTTAATTGTTGCAGCACTTTCTCCATCTATGCCTGATGTAGCCCCAAGTTAAAGTAAGAAATTAACCCCCGTATTTTAACATAAAATATTTGAACACAATTGAAAATTTTGAAAATAAACCATAAATATGGTTAATCAAAGGCTGGCCTTGCACTGTTTGCTTTGCTTATTTGGATTTCAAGAGACGGACAAAATACGCCCACATTTGAAAATATCAAATGTTTGATTTAAAAAAAGTGTAAGGAAGACCTTCATAAATTTTGTTTTTGTGTTTAAGGTGCATTTTAGATCACTAGTTGTATTTTCAAACCATCTAAAGGTATCCGAGGTAAATTGTTGTTGTTCTAGCCTGTCTCTTAGAAACCTCCTATTTCCTCCTGCTTGCTGGTTGTACAACTTCATTTATAATCTGCTTATCAATCGGCTCACTCTCTGTTTTTTCTCTCCCTCCAAGATCCGAGTAATTCGGGAGACTATTGCTGCAGCGTCTGCAATCTCCAGCTGCCCTCCAAATTCAAGCTCCAAGACCACATGAACCTGCACACAGGAGCACGGCCGTACTGCTGCGCTGAATGTGGGAAGCGCTTCTGTCAGATATACAACTACCGAGTCCACCTGCGCACGCACGCCAAGGCCAAAGCGGAGCGGCTCTGGTGTCGTATCTGTCTGATGGGCTTCAGCTCGCAGGAGCAGCTAAAGAAGCACTTGTCCAAAAATCACCTAGAAGACCAGTTTTATGAGTGCGACCTGTGCAAACGTGTGTTCACCTCCCTGGAGGACTGTCAAAAGCACGTGCAGCATCACAGGTGTATGGTGAATATCGCGTGCGATGTGTGCAGCCGCAAATTCCGCACTGAAAAATCACTGGCACGCCACAAGAAGAGGACGTGCCTCCGCAACTTTAAATGCACAGACTGCTCCGAGACGTTCATGAAGAAGAACGCACTCCTGAAGCACAGCTTCTCCCACCTCGGCCTGCTGCCGTACACCTGCATCCGCTGTCGCTGTCACTTCCGCCTGGCCAAGCTGTATCGCAAACACAAGTGCGAGCCCGAGCGCATTCACTGCGTGGCGTGTCTGAGGGAGTTCCTCAGTCAGGAGGACTTCCAGCAGCACAAGAAGGACACGGGCTGCTGGGGCAACCAGGAGCCCAATCAGAAAACGGACGAGATCCGGTGTTTGGAGTGCGGTCAGAAGTTCGACACCTCAGAAGAGCTGAAGAAGCACGCCGGCGCTCACCAGAGGGTCCTGAAATGTGCTGAGTGTGGGAAGGGGTTCCGATCGGCACTGCTGTTAATGTCCCACATGGGGGGTCATGCAGGCAAGTCGCCTTGCTTCTGTCAGATCTGTGGGTTGGGTTTCCCGTACCAGCAAAACTACGACAGCCACCTGAAAACCTGCGGACACACTCCTCGGTCTGTGGTGAGTGCAGGACGTTGGTGTTTTTTATTTTTTACTTAGAGGATGTTAATACATTGCACATTCATGTGCGACTTCACACTTGCAGAGCATTTCAAACCTCCCTGGAGGGTTCCCTGGAAAATCTCCACTCTGAGACCTGGATTCAGAAACCTTCAGTTTCAGAGAGAATGAGAGCTGTTGTCTGTAAATGAATGGCTGAATGTTTCACGTCGTATAAACGGGGCCTCAGACTGGCTGTATGTTAATCAAGTGACAAATTTCATAGATGGATGATAGGCTGACGACTATTTTTTTAATGCCATGCGAGCTACCCATAATACCTTTGAGATCAACGCATTGGGCACACATGCTCTAGTCTACACCATCTCAGCCCCCTATATCAATCAAACCTTAAGGATAATTAAACTAGTTCTTTCTGTTCGACTGATTGTTACATGAAACACTTTATCGTTCTGTGATGGACCGAGTTGGTGGTGCAGTCCAGTCAGCTCCATGTATTTAACTGTGCTAAGCCCTGGCCACCATCTTTTGTCCGGCAACTCCCAGGGATCACGACAAGTAAGAAGCGGTAAAAAAAACAAAACAAGAATTAATCATGAGCACAAACAAAAATGAACGATGAGTTGGTGTAAGTACATAAGTAAACTAAATGTGCGCACTTACAGATGGAACAAATGTATCTAAACCAACCAATAAATGTTTTATTACAAGCTAAAGTGTTGTGTTTGGATGAAAAATAAATGGTGCATATAAGAGTTACTGACTTTAGAGTGTGGCCATGGGTTTGGCCATCACAGTTCATATCACAGTACAGGACAGAAAGGTATGGAGCATAGTGAGTGCAAATAATACACATTAGCATGACAATACACTCATGTATGTATAAATGGACAGGCAATTCTTCCTCGTGTCAGAGAGGTAGATTTGTAGAAAGCTTGAGCTTGACTGGGACTCTTCCTCTCTCTAATATCAAGTAATACAGTGTTATTGATTACAGTTTAATGTGTCTTATCTGAGGCCTAGTAAAGAAAAACTGCACAGTTCTTACACAAAACAGGAAACTGAAATAAAAGTATTTCAACTGTCATACTTGGAAACATACACCCATTGAATTTGCAACAGAAACCAGATTAAATTATTTTTCCTCTAAAAATTAGAACGACAAAATTTGGCACGTTAATTGTTTTGGACTGTTGTTACAGTACAATGTGCGGACACGACTTTCACAAGGCTTACAGAAACAGATTTAAACATATTTCCCACAAGTGATTTCACACATTTTCATGTCTTCGCCATTTCAGAGCGTTCCTGAGAAGCACGAGACTACCAAGAGCTCACTGCCTAAAAAAACTAGGAAGAAAAGGGCAAAACCAGCCTCAACAAACACAACCAACTCAGCCCCTGTTCCGGATCCAGTTCCAGCCAGCCCTGCTTCACCAGCAAGTGAATCCTGCAGCCCTGCTCCAGGGGCAGGAAGTCCTTCTGCTGCTTCATCCGATGGGTTATGGACTCTAACCATTGATGAGAAGCCACCTCCTGGAGTGAATCTTGTCCTGTTTGTTCCTGTCGGTCCTACGAGCGAAATGTCCACACTACCGGTGGCTGCGGTGCAGGCTCAGACATCTCCACTGCTGTCGAGTAACAATCTGCTTGGAGTGAACGCTGCTGTCGGGGTGCCGCTAAACACCTCCCTGGAGTTCATACCGGGGTTTATAGATGCAGAAGCACCTTTGGATTTGTCTAAAAAGTGTAACTCTCCCAAGTCTGCGGAGTCAGACATTTCTCTACTTCACGTTAAAAGTGAGCCGGAAGAATTTGACGTTTCAGAGCAGATTAACCATACTGGAAACCAAGTAGCTAAAAGGCAGAAGAACGGTGCAGAAACGCAGGAGACAGATGGATATTCTACAGGGAAGCGATTTAAGATGGAGCCCGAGGTTCTCTCTCCTCTCAGCGCTCAAACAGCTTCTCCCGAACTAACAGTGGACATAAAACCGGCACCTCCATCTCCTGGTTCTGGGTTTGATCTATGGTCGTCCACATGCAGCCAGCTGACTCGCTGTGAACCAGAGGAAAAAATAAAAACAGAAATGGACCTTTAAAGCTCTATTTGTGCTGATAAAGGAAAGATAAAATGCAACAAATGCAGGAAAATTACTTAAAGCTCATTTCTGCTATAGAAGCACATTGTATTTTGCAAAACTGTAAACACAGATATGGCACTGAGATTACACAACCAGTAATTATATATATATTGTGTACACTTGAAACATTATTATACCTGCTTCATCATTCCATTTTAATATATTACTAAAGTTTTCTTCTATTATTCCTACACTAGCATGAATGCACTGTGTTTTGGGGGACTTAAAAGTTTTCTTTTTACACTTAACAATATTTTTCTTTTACTGAGAGCAGGCAATAAATTGTGTTGTGACCTGAGTGTAAAATATCATTTTTTTTTCTGTATATATAAAAAAAAAAAAAACATTCCACATCCTATTTTTAATTCATTTGTATTCAGGGTCAGTCATGTGTGATGACACCTATGCAATGTTGTGTAGAAACTCAGTATTTATATTTCTGATTGTTGTCATTACTACTTTATAATAGTGTGGGGGAATTTTTTTATTTGTACTTTTTTTAAATACAGTTAAATATTTAAACAATTAAAAATGGTACAGATACTTGGTCACCTTGTAGTTTACATTCTTTGAACTTATGTATGTATTATGCAGTTACACTTTGTCTTCTGAAGGCAAATAAACATTTGTTCCTGAAGTGAGGTCCCTCGTGTTTCGAGATCATGTTTGTGCTGAAAATGTAGTCATTTTGTTTTCACGTAGACAAAACGTAGACACAAATGTTCATTGTAAAGGTGTTCGCTAGGAAAAAATGTAGTCTATTGAAGCTACATGCTTGCTAGCAAAGCAATCAATCTTAACTTCATCTATCCATCCATTATCTTCCGCTTTTTCCGAAGTCAGATTGCGGTGGGGCAGCAGCTTGAGCAGAGAGGCCCAGACATCTCTTTCCACAGCCACCTCTTCCAGCTCTTCTGGGAGGATTCCAAGGCGTTCCCAGGCCAACCATGAGATAGTCTCTCCAGTGTGTCTTGGGTCTTCCCCAGGGTCTCCTCCCAGTCCGACCTGCCTGAAACACCTCCCTAGGGAGGCGTCCAGGGAGCATCCTTACCAGATGTCCGAACCACCTCAACTGGCTCCTCTTGATGTGGATGAGCAGCGGTTCTACTGTGCGTCTCTCCCGGATAATTGAACTTCTCACCCGCTCTCTAAGGGAGAGTCCAGCCACACTGCAGAGGAAACTCATTTCAACCACCTGTATCTGTGATCTCATCCTTTTGGTCACTACACAGCTCGTGACCATAGGTGAGGGTAGGAAGGTAGACGGTCGGGTAAACGGAGCACTTTGCTTTACAGCTCAGCTCCATCCTCACCGCAAGAGACCAGTACAGAGTCCACAATACTGCATATGCTGCACCAATATGTCTGTCAATCTCACGCTCCATTCTTCCATCACTTGTGAACAAGACCCCAAGATACTTGAACTCCTCCCCTTGATGCAGAACCTCACCCTTGACCTGAAGAGAGAAATCCACCCTTTTCCCGTTGAGGACCATGGCCTCAGATTTGGAGGTGCTGATTCTCATCCCAGCCGCTTCACACTTTGCTGCGAACCGCTCCAGTGAGAGCTGAAGATCACGGCACGATGATGCCAACAAGACCACATCATCTGCAAAGAGCAGAAATGGAATACTGATGCCATCGAATTGGAATCTCTCTGACCCCTGGCTGCATTGAGAAATTCTGTCCATAAAACAACAAAGTTCATGCTCAATCATCCAAGTATCAAATCCAATAATTCTCAGTCAGGTCATCTGGACAGTTTCTTTTTTGATAGACATTTCGCCCTCTATCCGGAAGTGATGAAGCCCTCCGGATAGAGGCCAAAACGTCTATCAAAAAAGAAATTGTCCAGATGACCTGACTGAGAATTATTGGATCTGTCCATAAAAGTTATGAACAGAATCTGTGACAATGGGCTCCATGGAAGATGTGCTGGAGGGATTGAGAAGGTCCAAGAAGTATTCCTTCCACCTCTCGATGACATCACTTACTGAGGTCAACACCACCCCACCTTCACTAAACAGTGTTAGTAAAGTGCTGCTTTCCCCTCCTCAGCCACCTGATGGTTTGTCAGAATCTCCTCGGAGCTGACCGAGAGTCTTTATCCAAGGTCTCACCGAACTCCTCCCACATTTCAGAAACAGCCAAGGTTGCGGACTGCTTGGCCCTCCGTTACTACTCAGCTGCCTCCAGAGTCCCACCAGCCAACAAGTCCAGGAGAACTCCTCCTTCAGCTTGACAGTCTCCCTAACCTGGGGTGTCCACCACCAAGTTCGAGGATGGCCACTGCGAGAAGCACCGACAACCTTGTGGCCACAGCTCAAGGCAGCCACTTCAACAACTGAGTCCCGGAACATGGCCCACCCGGACTCAATGTCCCCCACCTCATCTGGGATGCAGTTAAAGCCCTCCCAGATGTGTGAGTTGAAGATCTTTATGAGTTCTACTGCCAGGTGTTCCCAGCAAACCCTCACTACACATTTAGGTCTACCTGGTTTGTCCGGCAACTTTCCCCACCATCTGATCCAACTCACTACCAGGTGGTGATCAGTTGACAGCTCAGGTCCTCTCTTGACCCAAGTGTCCAAAGCAAATGGCTGCAACTCAGATGACACAACTACAAAGTTACTCTTCGATCTATGACCTAGGGTGTCCTGGTGCCAAGTGCACTTATGGACACCCTTATGTTCGAACATGGTATTTGTGATGGACAAACTATGACTAGCACGGAAGTCCAACAACAGAAGACCACTCGAGATCAGATCAGAGAGGCCGTTCCTCCCAATCACCCCACTCCAGGTCACACTGTTGTTACCTACGTGGGCATTGAAGTCCCCCAGCAGAATGAAGGAGTCTTCAGCTGGTGCACTTTCCAGCACTCCAGCCAAGGACCCCAAAAAGGCAGGATATTCTGAACTGCAGTTTGGTGCATATGCACAAACAACAGTCAGGTGTGTGTCCCCCCCCCCCCCCCCCCCCCCCCCCCCCGTAAGGAAGCTACCCTCTCATCTACCAGGGAAAAATCCAACACATAGCCACCAAGTTGGGGGGCTAAGTGTATACCCACACCAACTCGGTGCCTCTCACCATGGGCAACTCCAGAGTGGAATAAGGTCCAGCCCCTCTCAAGCAGATTGGTTCCAGAGCCCGTGCTGTGCAGTGAGGTAAGACCAACTATATCTAGTTGGTACCTCTCAACCGCACACACAAGCTCAGGCTCTTTCTCCGCCAGAGAGGTTACATTCCATGTCCCAAGAGCCAGCTTTGGTAAGCCAGGGTCAGAGCGCCAAGGCCCCCACTTTCAGCCACTGCCATGGCATAATACACCTGACTTTTATGGCCCTTCCTGCAAGTGGTGGGTTCACAGGAAGGCAAACCCATGCTGCTTCTTCAGGCTGAGCCCAACTGGGCCCCATGGGTAGAGACCCAGTCACCAGGTGCTCGCCGACGAGCTCTCCCCCAGGCCTGGCTCCAGGGTGGGGCCCCGGTAACCCATGTCCGGGCAAGGGACACTGAGTTCCTTGTATTTTCCTGTTTATATAAGGCAATTACACATTCATACATCTATAACTGTTTTTACATAGTCACAGTTAATGCTTTTTTAAAACATAGATTTGACCTCAGTGCTCACGCTCAACTAACAGGTGGAATGCAAAAAAAAGGTTTAAATCTTTTGCAATTGCAAACAAACTCTTCTTACTCCCACCGCGGTTTGGATTTAGTATTTCTGCTCATATTATTTTCTTCAAGCGAGAAAGTTAAGGGTCATTTGAACTTGTCTCCATCATAAAACAAAGATTTACACAATATATAATGTTGCTCATTCAAGAATTTTAAAGAAGTGACATGGTTTTCACACAGGGACTGTTTGAGGTCTACTTTCAGTCTTTGATTCAGTCTGCCTCTGGACTTGGCTGTCAGGGTGTGTCTCACTCACATGTGTCTTTCAGATAAAAGACGAAACGTTTCTAAAAGTTTTTTGTTTTTTGAACCTGTCCAGAGGACCTGACTTAACTTTTTTAGATTTTTCTACCTGGATTATTGAGCATGCATCAGGACACAGATGTGTGGTTACCATAATGACAATATTAACCCACCTACTAACAGCTTTTTACTTTTGACTTTAGTTCTCTTTGCACTTCTCAGTTTTTCTTAATTTGTCAGAAGTTTGGATCTAGTTTCTTTACCCAATCAACATGTCAAGTTCGTTATAGAAGTGGGCTGCAAAATGAATGATAAAAAATGTTTACAATATGTATATTTTTTTTTAACAGACTCCTATTTAAAAGCTAATGTTTAAACAAAAACTGTTGACGCTTAGGAAGCTCGGGTGCTTTTTTGGTGTCTTATTTTTATTTAATTATTTTCATTTTTGACAAAAGATGGACTTGCGACTTGTTCAGGTGTACCCGCCTCTAGCAGCTACACCTCATAGACATTATATCTGTGCTACACCTGTGACCCGAAAAGGAAGATAAAGAAAGAGCCGCCGGTGTTGTGCCAAAAAGTAATTCTCTGCCAAAAACTTATTGGGTGAAATCGGGCGTGCCCCAGCGAAGGAGCGCGCCACGGGACTGCGTTCAGGCTGCTTTAAGTGTCTTGTCTAGTCTTTTCTAAGGTCTTTCTCGGTCGTTTAGTTCTTTTAGACACATTATGTTACCACCAATAACAAATATAGTTTCATGCCCAAGATGACAACAAAGGTCCGTCTTGTTTACCCTTTTCTCTGCCTAAAACTTGGGATGTTTCCCCCGTCAGAGAGTCATTCACGTGTTTCATCGTTTGTAATAAGTATCTGCCCATTTAAATTCCTAACGGGAATATAGCAGTAAAAGTGTTCTTTTAATGCGTTATCTGCACTAAGTTTGCTTAGATTTCGAACAACTGTGTGATCAATGTAATGGATGTAACTCCAAAAAAGAAGATAAAATAAAAAAAGATTTTTACCATTTTTATTTTTTACTTTGGAATATCGGGCAACATTGTAGTGCAATTTTCACTCAAGGAGATACTATCACATAGATATGGTTGAATGAATTCAGTGTCACACTTAGAAAAATGGCCAAAATAGGTGCCATTTCTGCCTGAAATAACTTTATTACACTAAGAGGGATTATATAGCATAGAAATAGTTTAATGTAAGTTTCACACTTAAAAAATGGCAAAAATATTTTTATTGTCGTCTTGAAGCCAAAGAGAAAAAAGCAAAAGAAGCAGCGAATGAGTTTTTTTTTTTAATCAGAAACATCCTCCACATCAGACTCAGTTGTTACCAGACATGAGCAAACCTCTGAAAATTTAACTACAGAGGAAACTTCAAACGACAGCAACTATCCAGTTATTTCTCTAGTGCCATTACCTCCTCAAGAACATTATTCTTTCACACATGAAAATCTGCATGGGACTGGACCAACAGAGGACAAAATGGGGACTTTACATAATGCTGTTACTAACTTGAAACAGACACCAGTAGACACTTTAAGCATCAACCCGTCCTCCTCCAGCAGAGGCCAAGATGCAAAACACAGACTGAACACAAATCAAGCTTCTGAGTTCAGCTTTCTGCCGAGGACCACACATTTGGAGAGAAGGAAACGCAGAATGGAAGCGGCTGCAGAGCACTGTGCAAGTGTTTCTGGAGAAAATGAACCTTTAATTGGACCGAAACTACCAGAATCACTGAAACTGGACATGGAGGATGTCTCATTGAACACAACTGTCAGCCTGATCAGGAGCACACTGAAGCAGGTAGTCACTAATTTATAACATTCCTAAATTATATCGTGCTGTATGGCAAAATGTTTAACTTTGTCAACTTTCTCAGGTGGAATCAGTTTCAGATCTCAAACCTGAAGAAGATCAAACCACGTCGTCGAATATGATCCAGACGAATGTGTTGATGACTGACTTGAAGAAAATATCGGTTTCATTTTATTTTATTTAGTGTGCCAAAATATAAACCAAGACAAATGTTCTTTTAAAAACGGGGAGGTTAAGACATGACATGTTCACATCATTGTTCTAGTTGCTCCTGAAAACCTGCTGCTCGAACTTCTCAAAACTCTGGAAGATAAGAAAACAGCCTGTAAGACCAAGAGTTTCTGACTTGGAAATTAAAAATAAAAGCAGTCTTTTATTTGTGATTACCAAAGCATCAGGAAGGCAGGGTCTAAAGGCCTCCATCAGCAAGTCCTCCTTTTTTACTGCAGCTTCAAATTCCTCTACAGATACCAGGCCGTCATGATCAGTGTCCTGCGTTGAGCAAGGAAGCAACAAACAAGTTTTTTTGCTTTTTTTAATGAAAAAGCTGAAATCCTGCAGATCTCTTCCTCATTGCGATTTCCACCAGGTCTTTGACTCCTTCATCGGGGTCGTGGACGTCTTGATCGGGGTCATCCTCTGTGGGCAGTCTCAAGAGGCTGTCCTTCAGCATGTGAAACATCTCATCTCTGGAGATGAACTGGTCACCGTTCAAGTCGTACACACAAAAGCAGTCTGAGATGATGCAAAAATAGAAATGATTATTCACTGGAAAAGTCTGTCACTTTGGATTTGTTTTTGTGTGTGTGTGTGTGTTACAGAGACAAAGACAGCTCGAAAAGAGAAAGAGAACTTGCGCTTTATTTTTTCATCGAAAGTCCCCCGAAGAAAGACAGAGAGTCCATCGACCCACTTCTTCAAACTGATGAATCCATCGCTGTCTTTGTCAAAAGCTCTGAAAACTGAGAGCAGATAAATCATTCTTAATGTTTTTTCTGAAATTGTGACTCTGTAAAGTACAATTATCAAGTTCATAATCAAAAGGCAAATTATAGGCCTTTAATTAATAAATTACACAAACAGTGAAAACTTTTAATTGTCACAAAAATCTGCTCATTTTAATGTTGATGTTCTTTAAACTTGTCAAAGAAGTTTAAAATAAATATTGTTCATTCAACCTTTATTTAGACAGGTAAATCCCATTGAGCCTCAAGCACTCATTTACAAGAGAGACCTGATGACCTCTATCCAGAGGGCTTCATCAGTCCCAAGTAAAGTGTTTTCCCCACTAAGCAGTGCACTCCATTAGCGGACCAACCAGTTTGCTTGTGATAAGATAGTTTCTGGGGGGGGCTGTCCCCCCCGTCTACTCCTCCCAGGCAGGCAGCCACAGCTAAAGTAGTTCAAGACATCAAAGTCCATGCTCAATCATCCAGGTACAAAATCCAATAGTGGTCATCTGGACAGTTTCTATTTTGTGGAAAGACGTTTCGCCCTCTATCCGGAGGGCTTCATCAGTCTGAAGAGTCCTTCGTCCTAACCTTTTCTAAATATTCTGTTGGTGTCAAGTTCAGAAAAAAAGTTTTACAAAAGCAACTAAACATATCTAATAATTCATTTTGTGATTGACTGTGGGTTTTAATGAATTTAAAGACAATGAAATATTTTTGTTTATTTTTAACTCATTTTATAAAGTAATAATATAAAATATAATATATTAAATATATAGTAATATAATATATAATATAAAAAATACTAATCTCATGGTGCTTATTAGGGCTTAGGGTTCAATTCAAATTCATTCAATGCGATTTAATTACAACTCAATCTGTAAAAGATTTAGATCATGTTAAAAACTGCTCAGTTTAATCCAATTCATCTGATTCACTACAATATAAAATGCTACTTTGTAAACGTTTAGATAGCTAAAAAGATCCATGTACTGAAAACATTATTATTCAACTTTTATCCTCTATGAGTCATTTGTGAATTTGTGCCTTTAGAGATTCAAGTTGTGATAAAACCTACGTCAAGTCTTTAAAAATATGTGTTTAAAAGGATAAACACCACTGTACCTCAATCAATGTTTGCTCATCCCAAACATGATGTGCAGGAAGCCTCTGAACCTGTCGCTGTCCAGACCGTAGGATTCTTTGCCAGGGCTTACGTGCTCGTCCAGAAGGACATAAAACCCCCAGACCAGGCACTCGGTCTCTGTTTTATCGACTAGCAAACAGAAACATTAATATTAATAATAATTTATTTATAAAGCCCTTTAAAACAACCACAGCTGCCACAAAGTGCTGTACATATACAATCAAGAACATTTAAACACATAAAACAGTTGCTAAAACATTAAGATCAATTAAAAACGGTAAAAACAGTGCAGAGCAAATTCAGTCTGTGCTAAAAGCCAGGGAGTAAAAATGTGTTTTATGAAGAGTTTTAAAACTGGACAGTGAAGGGGCTCGTCTGATGGGAAGAGGGAGATCGTTCCACAGTCTGGGAGCAGCAACAGAAAAAGCTCTGTGTCCTCTGAGCCTCCGTTTGGACCTCGGCACCTCCAGGAGCAGCTGATCAGCTGAACTGAGGCACCGAGCAGGAGAGTATGGGTGAAGCAGCTCAGAGCGTCATGCTCAGCGCCCCCCCCCCCACCCCCCCCACCTGTTTAAGCCTCTGCTCCTCATACCACAGCCCCTGTTTTTAGATCATTCACGTTTTTTCCTGCTTTAGCTTTGAGTTCCCCTCTCATTCATTCAGCTCCTGTCACCCTGTGCCACGCCCCCTCCACCATCTACTGCAATCTACGTTCATGAGCAACACCTGTTCAGTTCACTATTTAAGCTCCCTGTTCTCCTCAGTCGGTGCCAGATAATTATAGATCATTTCAAGCGTTCCCTCTTCCCATCATCGTTCTTGACCATAGCTTCGCCCATGACCTTTCGCTCTTGCTTTTGCCCCCCGGACTGGATTCTTCTCTGGTTTTGACCCTTGCCTGTCCCTGGATAAAGTTCTGCTGCCCAAACCCCTCAGCATCACAGCTCGCCCATCCAGCCTCACTGCTTGTTCGTGCTCTCGCTGCTGCTCTGTGCACCCTTGCACATGTTATCGGCTCCTGAGGTTCGGACCGGTACCGGGACCCATCTGGCCCACATCTCAGACTGGTTCCAGAGACAGGTTGGTGGCTTTATTCTTGTTTACTCTGCTCTGCTTACAGCCACTAATCTGTCTCCCTCAGAGCGGTCCAGTACCAGAACCAGAACCTCCTGCCAGACGCCGCCGTTTTAAAAAGAAATAAACTGTTAAACCTTTTTCTGAGTCTGTGCTTGTCCGATCCACCCCAATTCGTGAAAGAATTATCTGGCCAAAATATGGATCCAGCACAGACTCGGAGGTGGCGTTCTGGTAAATTGGAGGTTCAGTTTACAGGCACCCGCCTGGCAATAAAGCCGGGCGGTTTCCCTCAGGCTCAGCCTGTCCTTTTGGGTGAGGCGGAGAAGAGAGAAGCCCAGCGTTGGGCTCTCCGCCTCATGAACAGGCCAAAGTTCCCGTTTTCCATTTGTGATCAGGAGGAAGAGTCGGACGAAGACGAGGATTTGTGGTTTCCTCCCTGCCAGGTCCCTTGCCCTCAGAAGAGCAGTAGGCACACAATGCACTGGTCCTCCCGATGTCCCGCCCCTCCGCCCTCAGAGCCCTTGCCCCAAACGTTTCCAGCTGTCCCACAGAGTCCCAGACCAGCTATAGTGGTCCCACAGAGTCCCAG